ACTACTATGTAATTATCTATTTATTTATGTATATACTTTATATAGAAAATCTTTCATTTTGTTCATAATTCAGATATATATATATATATATATATCATATAGAAATTAATTTTCATTTAATTAAACAATATTAATTGAAAGTAATTAGTTACAGACACAAAAGAAACTTAAAAAACTATATTTTTATATTTACCTAACCTATAAACTTACAAAACTTTATTTTTATTTTTACCAAATTTATAAACTTCGGAAACTAAATTCTTATTTTTATCTAATTTATAAACCTACAAAGCTAGATTTTTATATTTACCTAACCTATAAATTTACAAAACTATATTTTTATATTTACCTAACCTATAAACTTATATAGATATTATATATTAATTTCAATCTAATTAAAATTATCATTAATATCATCTATCAATTATGTCTTTTTATTTTCACATTTCAAATAATTTATTTCAATTTCTCAAATTTCATCAAAAAATAAAAAACAAAAAAAAAGTCATCTATCAAAAGATACACGAAACATTTTCGAATATGATTGTATTATATTCGGTGTATAAAATGTATATTAGTATTGTATATAATGTAGTTCACATAAGGAACTATGGAAAGCACGCGCTTTATTTCACCATTGTTTTCATGGCTCCCCGTTGTGCTCTGGCCTACGTGTACGTGCGATTTTCGGGCCCCCACCCTCCCCATCCTATCTTGTAAGAACGACAAAGAATTGTGGAGATGGTAATAGTAATACACAAGCAACCAACAACAGTCCCGATGACGATGAAGATGCCAGCTATGAGAAGAAGAGACCCTTACGTCTTCTTCTTCTTCTTCTTCTTTTCTAACTCGTACGGAGAAAGCTGATTGCTTCATTGCGAACGTGCTGTGTGACGCCGTGGGATAACCTGGGCTAACGCATATCGACCGCATTTTTATTCTTCTTTTTTTCTTTCTTTCCATCTTTTTTTTTTTTTGCTTCGAGGGAACGCTAATTAGGCAGTTGAGTCTTCATTATGACGACAGGGTGGGGGCCCAACGTAATACCGTTCGTTTATTATTTATTTCTTTTTTTCATTTCATTTTTACTCCAATAATCTTATATATACATACATACATACAATTTGTCTTAAGAATTCATTTGACTTTTGTTTTATATTGAAAAATTATTATTAGTCAAACGAGCACTTTTATTCTGATAACTCGTTTATTTTATTTTATATTATTTATATAATTTTTATTTAATTTTTACTCCAATAATTTTATATATACTTGTATATTTATGTATATATATATATATATATTTTTGTAATATTATTTTTTAAAAGAATTCATTTGATTTTTATCTTATTAGGTGTATAACTTTGCTTCCGCCATTTTTTTATAAGCCATCTGTAGGAAAATAGTGGAAACAAAGGTATACCTCTAATATATTGACAGATTATTATTAATCAAACAAGCATCTTTATTATAATAACCTATTTATTTTATTTTATTATTTTATTTTTATATTTTTCATTAAATTTTTATTATAATAATTTTACATTCATGTATATCTTTGTAATATTATTTTTTAAAAAGAATTTATTTATGATTTTGATCTCATATGGAACGCTTTTTATTAGTCAAACGAACATTTATTATTTTTATTATTTTATTGCTTCAATAATTTTACATGTAATTTTGTAAGATTATTTTTCAAAAATATTCATTTGATTTCTGTGTCACTGAAAAATTAATATTAATCAAATGAAATTTTTCATTTTAACAACTGAACTGACGTACCATCTTTGCTTATTTATTTCTTTTTCTTTTTTTTTTTTTTTTCATTAAATTTTTACTTCAACAATTTTATATATAACTTTGTAAGATCATTTTTCAAAAGAAATAATTTGATTGTTGTCACACTGAAAGACTAATATTAGTCAAATGAGTATTTTCATTATGACGATAGAACCAACCTACTTTCTTTGCATATTTATTTCAGTTTTATTAAATTTTTATTTTCCTGCAATTTTATATATGTCTTTGTAATATCAATTTTCGAAAGAATTCATTTGATTTTTGTCCCACTGAAAGATTATTATTATTATTAGACAAATGAGTATTTTTCATTATTTTATTATTGTCAAATTTTCATTTAAACAATTTCATTAATTTTATTAAAATCACAACTGTTCGAAACAATTATCTGTTATATTTTATCGCTGATGGTGAGAGAACAATTAGATAATTGAACGTATTCGTTTTACAACAACAAAAATAAA